ATATATATATATAATATTTTATAAGATATTTTATAATGTCAAATTGATACCAATTGACGGATGAGGATTAAGGTATATAATAATGATGATGATGATGAGGAATAATTGATATAATAATACTAGAATAAATATCGATATTAAATATATAACAGTTATAATAACACTAGATATAAATATATAATAGTTATTTTTCAATCTTAGAAAGCAATTGTTCGTTAAATAATAACTTGCTCAATGAATATTAAATTTTGATAGACTTAAATAAAATTTTAAACTTTGAAACAGTAAACTTTAATAAACTTCAATAAAATTGATATTAATTTAATAAACAAGAGAGATTAAATTCGCTTTGATAAAAAATTAGACATCTATTAAATATGTCATAGTAAATATATTTTTACATACTTTACATCTTTTAGATTTTTGGAATTCTCAAAAATGCATGACACATTTGCATCTAAGTTAATAGTTAATGACATTTAGTTAATAAATTTACATCCAGTTAATAAATTGTAGATTAAAAAGGGAAAGATAGGAATTTTAACAAAAATATTATGCTCTTTTATGAAAATTATGTTTAACACTAAAATCATCAGAATGGTCAATACTAATTGGTAATTTTTTCATAGAAGTTTTATAGATTATTTTCAACGAATTTTCCTAAAATATATAAATACAACTTGCTCTGTATTGTAGATCTTTTCTCGTGATACAAATTTTATATCATCTTTTAAACTTACTACAACCAGTAATAAAAATGTTTAAAAAATTAAATATTAAAATAAACTAAATATCACATATCAAAATTTAATAAAAAATTATATACAAAAATATTCTAAGAAGCGTTTCAGTGTTAATGTTCTATCGTACAAGATAAAAGTGAGAATTTCTAAAATACAAAATAATATAAAATTTGAATTTGATTGGAATTTTAGATAACCAAATCGTCGCTCGTCTAGATGCTGCTGAGCCTGTGACGTGATTAACGTTGACCAAAGTACTACAGAAGGTGTCAAAATTGAGCAGATCGTCCTCCCGTCCGGCGGCGGTGATCTCGCCAAAATTTGGAGGATGTTGATGCCTGGTGCCGCTGGTCTTAGTGCCGTCGGTGCGGTTGGTGCCGTTGGGGCGCCAGGGCCGGACGAGTTAGTCTCGGGCCTTGGTGCGTTGGCCGGTACTACGCCTCAACAAAAAGACACTACATGGACGAAACTTTTCGTCGGGGGTTTACCTTATCATACAACCGACAAAAGTCTCAGGGAACATTTTAACGTGTATGGCGACATCGAGGAAGCCGTGGTCATTACCGATAGGCAGACTGGCAAAAGTAGAGGCTATGGTTTCGTAAGTATCTTGAATAGCATATTATTATTTGATCTTTTGTTAGTTGTTGCTGATCGGCAGTCGTTGTTGTGAAATGCTTTAAGTTTGCGAATAGCTTGCCAGAGTTAATAGCTTATGTGTAATTTTTCTTTGTGCCATTGTTAGTAATTCCTAGAAGTTATGTACTAAATCGAAATAGATTTCAACAGTACGATATTGCACGATGAAATTTTATCTTTTATAAATGGATAGTTACAATTGAATCGATAACTTGCCGGTCATGATTTAAAGTAAATTTGTTTTTAGTTTATTTCGTTTGGAAAATTTTTGTTTAAATAATTTTTGAACAATAAAATTCGAATAATTTTATAGGTTCAAATATTTTTATAAACTTTCATTTATATTAAGTATGGAAGTACTTTTTCAACCGTCATGTATTATAGTCGTCACACGCGCAAAGATAATAGTATAATTTGTTGCGATAACGTAACCAGTTTGCTCTCTCATATTCAAAAAGACATGTTAACTTGCAGTATACCATAATGTTCTTTCTAAAAGCTTATATAGTACTTCATTATCAGTTTCTCTTTTTATCACATATGTATAATTACACAAAGGATAATATGGAAATATATGAGTCAATGTTCTTGTTGCCCTTATTGCCCTTATTGTCGAAATGAATTCTGTTAAAGATATTTATTATTGTTTGCGGCAATATTTATAATTTTGATGAGATAACCATCGTTATTACGATTTTAATAACTTTTCATAATTTCACAATACAATCTTCGTTAATTTATTTACTTATTTTTATATTATTATATTTCATCTATAAATTTTATATTTATTTGTAATTTGTCCAATTATTTAATCAAACATTTTGTTGAAATTGAATATTTTCAACATCAAGCTACAAATAAAAGTGTCGAAAAGTTTCGAGAAAATATCGAGGAAGTTGAGAACAAAAAATTTCTTTGTTTTTTTCTTTCTAGATTAAGAATAAACAGTTCTTTCTTTATACAATTTATTTTCACTAGTGAAAATATATAATTGTTTAGATTGGAATAGTTGAAACTCGCATTGAAAAATCGTGATCGATTTTTGGCGCTTAACCAACCGATTAGATTATCTGAAATGTCATTGAAATATCCGGGTATTACATGCACGATACGTACACGGCTTGTACCGCTGCTTATGAGGGGGAGGCGTGCAAGATCCAGGTGAAGCGGAAGGATTAGTCGAATAATCGATTGGATCTGTACGCAGGTGATCATGGGAGACAGGCCAGCAGCAGAGAGGGCGTGCAAAGACCCTAACCCCATAATCGACGGTCGCAAAGCAAACGTCAACTTGGCGATTCTTGGAGCAAAGCCTAGGGGCAACCTACAAGCGAGTAAGTTTGCTCAGCAGTATGTAAATGCTTATTGAATGAATACGAATTATGCGAAATATTAGGAATAGATTCTTCAATTGCTGGTGTTTGGCCTTTTGTCGCTTGAGCGGTTTTGCACTTATATTCTGATTAATATTTAAGTACTAATTCTTTGGTTACTTCAAATTACTATTTGGTATTCTAATACTTTATTTTTTATATAAGAAGATTTCAAATATTCCTTCGAAGTTTCTAACAGTACATGGATATATATTTTTTTAGTATCATATTTACTGTTGATGAAATGAACATGAACAATCTTGGGCCAAAAATTATACTGTTTCAAAAGACAGTAAAAAAATTCTTTGTTACAATCATTTTTCAAGATTTCAAGATCGTTAGTTTGTTTTTAATATTATATTTGTATTTAAGAATGCTTGGTTCAAAAGATTTTATCGAATTTAACTCGTGAAAGACGAATAAATAGTTACTCTTGTTTTTATGTTTTTCTCGACTTTCATCATTAAATTGAATGAAATGAATATTGAAATATTTTATCACATAATAACGAATAAGATATTTAGATAATCGTTTTTAATTTTATATGAAACATTATGCAAGTATATTATAACATATATCATACAAATATTAACGCTAATTCTTAATAAAATTTGTATTAATAGATCAATTTCAAGCCTTTTATATATGATCTATAATTCGTGAAATTGGACAGAGAGTAACAGTTCTTTCAAATCTTGTCTCGATATATAGAGAGATTTACCGGAATAGATGTCATTTCTAATCTATCAGATGATTTTTGCGCGTCATCGTCACGAGATTTACGTTGTTGAAGCATAGCCAAATCAGCGAATTTCGTTCGTCACACTAACAGATAATACATGTATACTTCTTGGACGCAGAATCACGCTTCTGTTTGATATATCGAGGATACGTGTCCAAGTCACTTGGAAATTCATCAAGAAGGTACTCTTAATGGGACATTTAATTTAGATGCCAGTTAGAAAAATTTGAAATTTGTGCCTTATAAAGAAAGTCAAATTGTATTAGATGCCTTTCGTATCGAATGTTAAAGTAAATATTTATAAAACAGAGTGTAAATTATCAAAACAAGTAATTCTCAATTAGGGATTTTTCTTACTCAATAGTAATTTATATTAAAGATCATCTTGACGCAAAAATTTGAATAATTATTGAATGAAAACTTTCCTCAAAAGAAGAAAGAATGTCGCAAAAGACAATTTTAATGATCACAAAATAAAACAAAATAAAAGAAATAAATGGCAAGTTTATCAAAAAAAGGCATCGAACTTAACATAATCACATCTAGTTTATTTAAGCCGATATATTTCCTGTTAGTTAATTAGATTTTGTTAGTTTCTAATCTAACTATTTAAATTAATCGTATATAAATTGAAGAAGTTGGAACAACGATGAAAGGGCAAAAGACAGCATTACGAACGACATTTGCGCAAATCGGATCACTTTCTTGAACTCTTGCGATGGCTCCAGGCCAACATAGCTTGGCGTTTCGGCACCTAAGTCTAAAATTGTTTTAACCCGAGTGCCACCGGCTTTGTCTCTTTTTTTCTTCTCGTGCGCAAAAATCATGTTTGTTTCTATTACTTTTGGGATTAAAATGTATTTATTCTCGAGCAATTTATCAATTCAATTGAATGCAGTATAATTAGATCTTTGAGAACTTTTATGCAAGTTTATATTTCTAAGGCTAGAATTAAAAAAAAAAAAGTAGAAGTTAAAACAGCATATAAAATAGAATTGTTAATAAAATAAAATAAAAAACGAACAGAATAAAAATAGAATTAAAAAGCTAGAAAAAGAATATTTTGTCGTATTACCTCCATTCTGGGTAATTTAATATTTCAAAATTTTCTATAGATGATATAGATTTATATTTATATTTAAAATTAATTAATATTTACATAAATAATTAATTATTTATGGTAATGCACATTGTACATTATAATATAAGATTATATATATTACATAGATATCTTACATATTCAGAAGATATCTTGATACTTATAAAAGTATTTTATCATAATATGTCAAATACTTTTTTTAGTATTTTTTGTTTAATTGAATCAATTTATGTGAAGTACTTGCTACCTTTATGTAATAAAATATTCTATATTTCTTCTTGTCATATATCTACTAATGATAATTTTGAATTTATTATGCATTATAATCTATTTTTTTTTTTATAGAAAGCATGTTATTAGGATATAAATGTATGCAAAGTGTGTTGTTTTATACATATTGTATGTGTAAAATTTTTGTGTATGT